AGGGGGAAGTTCTTTACTATGAGAGTGGTGAGGTGCTGGAACAGCTGCCCAGAGAGGCTGTGGATGCCCCGTCCATCCCTGGAGGTGTTCAAGGCCAGGTTGGATGGGGCCCTGGGCAGCCTGGTCTGGTATTAAATGTGGAGGTTGGTGGCCCTGCATGTAGCAGGGGGGTTGGAGTTTAGTGATACTTGAGGTCCCTTCCAACCCAGGTCATTCTGCGATTCTGTTTCATAGCTGCCTGTGGGCAGGACAAATAAATCTGGTGTTTAACACTTCTACTTCTAAGCTTCAGCTAGTTTGCAAATCTACATTTATTCCTTCCCCTGATGTTGACATAATTAATTGTTGTTCTCCTGACTCTACTTCTTCATATGGTAAGTGTGAGAGCTTCCCTCCATTCACAGAGCATATGACTATCATAGGACAACTTCAGATCTTGCTCTAGCACTGGGAAGCACTATTCAGTATGGCATTCATGCTCTGGTATTCATAAACCTTGCCATGTGTTCCTCTATCACCAGCACGTGCTTGCAGAACCCTTTATGGATGCACTCAACATTCTGCGTACAGTTATCATTCACCCCTGCTTCATCTGACATACCCATTACTTTCTTATATACAGGCAATATGTCTTTCATACACAGTTTCACAAGCTTTGAATTTTGTTTGCTGAATCACTGAAATTTTGTGTCAGCTCTCCCACTGCCCTTGAAAGGGAAGAACAACCACATCAGATTGAAACTACCCTTGGTACTCTACATTAGGTGATACAACTGGGAGTAGTGAGGTTTACAGTAGACAGAGATCATGCTGATTAGTGCTCAGATATTATAGAGAAAAAGACTTTGGAAAACAGTGAGATTAATAGGTTTCAGGGGAAAAAAAAAATTCTATGGTGAAATCTGTTCTAACAGGCATACTGCCAGGAGAGACCTAGTAGGAGCTTTACCAATTCAGATTTTTCTAACAGAAGTTGACAATTCAAGAAGTAATCATAGATAAGGACTATACATCAGTAAGAATGAGAAGATGATGGGGATGTTGAGGTTTCTAAGTTTCTCAAGGACATGAGAGTGCACTGCCTACTACTGTACGGTGTGCTTCCCAGATGCAGTCAAACTTATTGCCCAAGCCACTGAGCAGAGACACGCTGCTCCTCTGTAACAGGATGTGGTTGGTGGATTAGAAGACAAAGCCATGTCTGATGTTATTAGCCGAATGCTTTCACAGAGCTATGGCATTATGGAACTTCAGCAGAAATGTCCCGCTGTCCAAACTGATCATCTTTACAAGTTTAACAGAAAAATAATTACTTTTCAGCCCTGCTCAAAACCCATGGAGTTTTAGGCACTAAGCATTCTAGTGATAGCAGTAGCAAATCAATATGTGTGTATATGTGTATATAAATATACAGAGAAATTTTGGAATTTCACTTGGGTGTGTTTACTTCATGATGTACTGAATGTTCTGACGACCTTTCTTATTTACTGAAAAAAGCGCCAGCAAGAATGAATGGCGTGCAATATAATCAGGGGTCTTTGTTATTTTCAGAAACCTAATGAATGAACACATGACATCCACCGCTTTTTGACATGACAGGCATATGGTGTTCATAAATAAATAAAAAGCCTGATGATACAGTTGGGTTGATACCACCGAGTGGTAACATTTGGTGAGCTGGCAAGTTGTCTACTCTATCTTACCTTGACAACAAAAACACAAAATATCTGAGTAAAAACAATTAATTGTAACTGATAGCTTTTGCAGTTTCCTCCAATGAAGTCACATTACCAGGTTCCAAAAGAAACATTAGACTGCTCTTTAATGTATAGCTTCAGATATACTTACAATAACAATTAAAATTATTGGGGAGGCATTTTTCAGCCACAATAGCAGTCAGCAACAATATCTACATGCCTGGTAGAGACTCACAGCAATATCAAAGAGTGAAGCAGAACCAAGGTGCCTACATTTTACTTACACTCAAAACTGAGATCCTGAAAATGCCAGAATAGCCACCTAATGGACAGGTACTGCTCTTGGGTTTTATAACAGTGGTGATTACAGAAATGTGATTGAGCCAGGTTCAGTTTTCAAATCTCTCTATGACCTCCAGATCCTAGTTTCTCATCTCTCCAAGGAACGCTCTACATAGATCTGTCTTTCCACATTCTCACTGCTAGCTTGAAAAATCACACTTTCACCAGTGGCATCACTACTGCAAAATTTGGAGGATATAGGAATATATGTATTTCTTCCACACTTGCATTTCAAAGCTACAACCTGATCCCTAGCAGTGAGTCATCCCAGTGATCCATTCACAGATATAAAATACAAATTATTACATGCAATTGAGATAATAACTATGGTATAGCTGCCCACAGACCTCACTGCAGCAAACCAAATGCAGTACAATTCTTGTCTTTAAATCTTCAAACCCACTAGTCTGACTGCAAACTTAGTCATACAACCAGTGTAGTCAGGTAAACACCAATCAATCAACAGCTAACTCTAAAGTCATCCTCATCTCAGAATTCATCCAACTTCATCAGTTTCCTGTGATACCTACAGGTTCCACAGACATCTTCAGGCTTCACTGTGCTGAACCCTGACCTATAGCAAAAAGATACAAGGCCTGATCAGGCCAGAACATACATGAGATGGGTATAATCTGGAGGATTGATTCTTCTGGGGTGTTTGTGGTCAGCTCCCTTGGATTAAGGCTAGCTTAAAATTTGGGGTTAGGGTACAGTTTAGGAGAGCATACATTGTATGCCTGAACACGGTAGTATTTAGATGTCTTGAATTTATTTCCAGATGGTTGAGGTCACTTCCCTTTGGGAAGCATGGAGTTAAACTGACAATTAAGACTGAGAAAGAGTTGAAAATATTTTATTTTCTGACAGCTGCTTAATAAGATACAGGCTGGTACGGTAATGCCAAATCAGCCTTCATTTGGTCACAGGATAGTAAAGATCACCATTGTGAGTCAGAGGGCTGTGTTTGTTTTTCATAGGGTATGCAAAAATACAGGCTCACACTGACAGTACTGAATACACGAGAGTTAGCTGCAGCACCTCTCTGGAATTTAGGCTAGAATTCCCGAGGGATCCAAAGGCTGGAAATGTTAACCCTACATTATGTCAGAACCACCAAAGTAGGAAGAGGTTTAATGCTGGCAGGACTGAAAGGTTAAAAACTGAGTTTTGAGGGGTTACCCCTCAATGGTGGGGGTTCTCGTGTTTATTTTGGTGATATGGTTGGGCTAAAGGAAATAATTGTCGGGAGTATTTATTTCTGAATGTCACTGGAATTGTCATCTGTTAATGGCCAGGGACATCTCTTCTTGTTTTAGAAAAGAGAATCAGTTAATACGCTGAAGTAATATGAAAATTTCTTTGGAACATCTTAAGGCTACATTAAGTGTTCAGTTTTAAGAAAAGCTAAGGTTTGAGTGAGAACTATATGGAGAACTGTATGACCATCTTATCTTCAAAGGAATATCAAAGAAGAAAAGGGATGGTATCAAAGAGATTGCACATGATACTCACAGCAGTCACCTCTTAAATTAAACTGTGGCTAGCTGGAAGATTGGGATTAGGGTGTGAGAGAAACGAGATGATAGAACTGTGGTTCTAGGAAAGCTGGGTTTGGCAAAAGATGTGGTGTCATTGGTAGTTTCAGTTCAAGGTTAGGAAAAGGGCAAGGACTGCTGGTATTAAATTTAAAGCCTGCAGGAGCCATTGAGTAGAATGAGGTTTAGTACACAAGAAAATATAATGGGTGACAATTTGACCTTGGATGGTTGTGCTCATTCTCCTGAATCAGCCTTCATTTGGTCACAGGATAGTAAAGATTATTAAGCAGCTGTCAGAAAATAAAATATTTTCAACTCTTTCTCAGTCTTAATTGTCAGTTTAAATCCATGCTTCCCAAAGGGAAGTGACCTCAACCATCTGGAAATAAATTCAAGACATCTAAATACTACCGTGTCCAGGCATACAATGTATGCTCTCCTAAACTGTACCCTAACCCCAAATTTTGAGCTAGCCTTAGGCTAGTGTTAGGATTAAGAACGCGTGTTGGAACACTGAGTTTATTTCCGAGTTCTGTGGGAACTGTACTCAGTTGACAGCTGTTCCTGAGAGGACGAGGCTAGATGCAACAGGTAATAGCTACTTTCTAAGACACAAGGGGTTGAAGATCTGCTGTCATTTCTCCTTCCTGAAGGGGCCACCAAAACTCAATCCTGACCAAGCCTACAGTTTGCTGTCTGCCGCAGAAGTATCTTAAATACCAGTGAGCACCACTCTTGATTTTGATCCAGATAAGTTTGTTAGCATCTCTTGCCCAGAACTCTTTATCTCAAAATTGTGGTTAGGTCAGTCACTTCTGCCCAGACAAAACTACTCATACCCTAATCATTCCTGGAAGTAGTTGGGCACCCTGGCTCTTCCAAAAGGTGGCATGAAAGCCATTCCCAGTTCACCTTAACCCCAACTGAGCACTGGATTCCATGGCTCCAACCCCTTGTTAGTGACTATATTAATCCTATGGATCCAGCAACAAATGAAATTCTGCCTTTGGCTTCTCAAATTCTCTGAACTGAACTCAACACAGAGAACAAAGAAATAACCCTGTTGTTTGTCCAGACCAACTTTGTGCTTTTCTGTCCTGATCAACAGAATGCCTCAGCTCAGTCTTCACAGGATTATGATATCCACTGCAACAAGCTCAGATTGACAGCCCTGGTGAACTCCAAGCAGGATTGAGGTAGGTGACAGAACTCAAGAATGGGGGAGAGTTAGAGCTACTGTGCAAAAAGGAAACAGAGGTTGAAGAGCCAGTTCTACTGCACGCTGGGAAAGAACTCCTGCATAGGCTGTATGGGTTTAGAAAAGGATCGCTGTGCTTTAGATAAACAGACCAAGAATGAGAATGGGAAAATGAAGATAACTAGCCTATGATTAAGATGAAAGAAGAGATACAGCTTTTTGGAGAAGATAGATGGATGAATTAGGAGAGGTGACAGAATAGAAAAAGCTGACAGTACTCGTTAGGAAAATGTTTAAAAAAGGTCTGCTCAACTGAATTTTAAACTCGTGATTAAAACCACAGAATGAGATGAAGATATATTTTTGGTTCATGTAGGGTCTGTAAGTCTGTAGCATGATGGTAGTGTTGTAGTGCAACTTAGGTCTATTGATGTGAGAGTTACCTTTCCTTGTTGAAGGCTATGATTGCTTGGAATCACATGTGTACCTAAGGAGATAAGGACCTGAAAAGGCTTGTTCATTGCAGGAACCCACAAGGGCTGCAAAAGCAGTAAGAAGAGCAGGGACATCAGACGGAATTAAGCTGTGTTTTTTCCTTAAGAAATGCTTCCTGGACCTCAAGTTAATTATGTCACTGTGGTTGTGTTTGATTTGTGACGGACAGATTCAGGCTAGTACAAAGGCCAGCTGATGAATCCTGTCTAAACATAAGAATTTTGCCCTTTATTGGGATATATATATATGGAAAGTTAATTTTTGTTTCTGGATCCTGGAAGACCAGCTGTTTTGGGCTCAGTCAGCCAAAATTACCAGTCTTCCACTTGGACTCGGTTTTGTGTTGGGCTGTGGATACAGCTTGAAACTGGTGAGATTGATCAGCTCCATCTGTTGCCGCAGGCTTTATAGGCTAGAAGACTGGGAAGAGGAGTGCTGCCTTTGCAGATGCAACACACTTAAGACTGTGGGAAGGAAAGAAATTCTTGAGTGACTACAGCTAGAACTAAGGACAGATTTCTTAGCTGTACAGCAGGCAGCTGCAGGTTTGGAGAGAGAACCCGGGCAAACAGGATAGGAAGAGGATTCATTTGCTGAAGTGAGATCCAAGATTAAAGATATCAAAGCAGTGTGAGTGTTCTTTTTATGCCTGAAGTCTGTAAGTCCACAGGTCTGGTACGGGCACTGACAATATGAAGTCATTGCTCAATTACAGCAAACAAACTGTATTTGTTACAGTTGATCCCAGAGGCCAATTAAGCTGAAAATTTGTTTCCAAAAACCCCTCTATTGGATCAGATCCGATGACAGGTTTGAGGCTTTAAGGAAGCTTTGTACTGAAGATCTACTAGAATAGGTGGCTGTAGAAGGCTGACAATATTTGGAGGATGGATGATGTAGTCAGCTGTAAGAAATCACACTATAGCAATCAAAAGTTGATGGGCAAGAGAATAAAGATAAAAGTCTGGTGTCTGGAATGAAAAAGGCAAATTCCTTAATACAGCTGCAATTACTTCTGGGATAGCCAAACATTTATTTTTCTGGCCTTAATGCAAGAATCCATGACTACATGGACTACAATGACTACAAAACTAGGCTAGTTTTCCATTTCTGCAGACATCACAAGACAAGCAGGAGTGGTGGGCACAGAAAGGGATAGGGTTGGTTTTAGATGAAGTTCATCCTTTTAGTCCTCAAAGGGGTGAGAAGTTTACAGTACTCCTAAGCAGTGTGCTGTAGTGCTCTACGGTGTGCTGACACCTTGAGTGGGACTACTGCATAAGTTCAGGTCACTGGGCCAGAGCGTAAGGTGACAATTAACCATCAGAGCAGAATTGGCTGTGTTGTGTTTAACAGAGAGTTCCAGACCACTATAAGAAGTATGCTGGGAGATATCTTGGGGCAGAGTTAATGGCCTTACTGGATTCAGGCCAAGGTTAATGCCTTGGCATCACAGGAAGTGAAAAACAACATTTATGTCTGGATCACAGAATCACAAAATGGTTGAAGTGACAAAGGGCCCTCTGGGTCCACTTGGTCCAGAACTCAGAGCAGGGTACCCAAACCCATGTCCAGGATGAGACTCCAAAACCTGTCTGGGCATTCTCTGCCAGTGCTCCATTACCCACACAGCACAGAAGTTCTGCCTGGTGTTCAGAGGGAACCTCCTGTGCTCCAGTTTGTCAACTGCCTCTTGTCCTGGCACGGGGCATCACTGAAAACACCTGGCCCTGTCTTCATTGCATCCTCCCTTTAGGTATTTAGACACTGAAGAGATACCTCCTGAGCCTCCTCTTCTCCAGGCTATAAAGTCTCGTCTCTCTCAGTCTTTCATCTCTCAGGATCCTGCTATGTTTGCTAAGCTTAAATCTCAGTTATTCCTAACATAGTAACACAAATTGTTTAATCTGCAGAATCTGAAGGATGGTGTAGGGTTTGGGGTTAGTTTTAGTGACAGCACAGCCTGGTACTGCACATTCTAGGCCATTAGAACCAGTACAACAACTGCTGAAGAAAATCAGGCAGGGCCAATATTAGATATGGGGCAAGCTGGGCCTAAGACTAGGATTGATGTCATGGGTAATATTTGGCACTAGAGGGACTGAAAAGTTCTTAAAAGTCATTTCTGGAAACCGGTGCATTGCTCCTATTTGTTAAGGAGAAGGGACTTCACAGGGAAAGTCTAACAGACGAAAGCACACGGAGAAAGAGGCACTAGGTCTTATCAAGGCGTTGTGACCACAAGGGTATGGTTCAGAAGTCTGTACACATGTGCACATATGTTTCTCCAATCTGTAACCTTCCTCCCATCCTTCCTGTCTCCCTGTGAGCCTCCCTGCCCCCCAGCTCCCACAGCCCTCCGTGTCCTTTCTTTTGTTCTGCCGCATCCTTCTCAGCGCAGCACAGGGCCGAGGCAGCAAGAGGAGAGAAAGAGGAGAGAAGCAGCTTTACCAATTGCTTTGGCCCTGCGTGCAGAACAATAACAACCACCAACCCCACAATAACAGTAGTAATGGAAATGCTGCCGGGCCCCGGCTTTTCCAGCTTGGGGTGTAAGGCAGGTGATGCGGCTGGGGGTCTGCTGGCGTTTGGGTTGGGATGTAAGCATCTGGGGGCTGCCGGCTCGCAGCGGTGACCCCACAACCCAGCCGGCACTGCTTATCTGCCCAAGCCCGGAGCAAAGCAGCCTGGGGACACGCGCAGCTTCCCCGCCGGGCCCTCCGGCAGCAGCCCCTTGTCCCGACGGCGTCCAGCTGTTGCCGCCAGCTGTGTGCCAGCCCCGGCCGAGCCGCGGCCGAGCGCGGGGGCCGCCCTGCCGCCGTCCCCGCCCCTGCGGGAGGAGGAGGAGGAACCGAGAGTGCCCGACCCGGTGGCTTTTAGGGGGGGAGGCCACTCGCCGCTTAGCGCTCCTCCGCCCGCCGCCGCTCCGCCGGGCTGGCCGCTGCCCGGCCGCTGCCCCCTCCCGTCCCCGGCACCTACCTCGAGCCCCCCGCGGGCTGCGGGGCTCCGCGCCCGGAGCAGGAGGCAGCTGGGCGGGCAGAAGCAGCGGGGAGCCGCGCCGCGACCGGGTGGCGGGGGGGAGACGGGAGGCAGAGAGGAGGAAAAAGAAGGCAGGAGAACAGCGAGGGCTGACTCTGGGAGCGGGTCTCGGCGCCCAGGACCCGCACGCCCCGGCGGCCACGCGTGGGTGCAGAGCTCAGGGCCGGGCGGAAGATGCACACGACGCAGAAGGACACCACCTACACCAAGATCTTCGTCGGGGGCTTGCCCTACCACACCACCGACTCCAGCCTGCGCAAGTACTTCGAGGTGTTCGGCGACATCGAGGAGGCGGTGGTCATCACCGACCGGCAGACGGGCAAGTCCCGGGGATACGGCTTTGTAAGTGCGAGGACGGCTGCGGCCGCCGTCGGGAGAAACTTCTGCGGGGGTCGCTGCGTGGGGAACGGGAGGGCTAGGATCTTCCTTCCTTCCTTTCTTTCTTTCTTTCTTTCTTTCTTTCTTGGTTTTTTGTTTTGTTTTGTTTTGTTTTGTTTTTCCCCTCCCTGCTGGGCACTTCGGAGAGAGGCGGGGGGGGGGGAGGATTACTGAAAAAGGAGATGGAGGGCGAATCCCGTCGCTTCTCGCCCAGCCTGTTGCTCCCTGATACGGCCTCGCCAAGGGTTATCTGCCGCCGGCGGAGCTCGGCCCGCGCCCTCGGCGGCTGCCGGCTGCCCCGGAGCAGCAAGGCGAGGCTTTACCAATTGCGGCCGGGCGGCTGAACCGGGGCGGGGGGCTTTCTCCCAGCCGCCCCGAGGGAGAGATCTAACGCAGAGCCTCGCCCCTGAAGGTCACCATGGCCGACAGAGCCGCTGCCGAACGAGCGTGTAAGGACCCCAACCCCATCATCGATGGTAGGAAGGCCAACGTCAACCTGGCGTACCTGGGTGCCAAGCCGAGGATCATGCAGCCAGGTGAGGACGCAGCTCTGCGTGCACCCCGGGTTCTTGAAGTGAGTTGGGAAACTTTGGGAAAAGGTAGTGCTGGGCCACACTTCCCCGAAGCACATTGGGTGGTTAGGTGTGCTTTTGTCTCAAAATGCAGTACGAAGTAACTTTGTGCCTATTTGCTTAAGCACCAAAAGCAATTGGAGATACAATATCCCAAGTTCTCCAGGAGTTTTTTGCACAGTTCAGACTCTTCATTGGCTGTTCTCACTGCTGGGAACGTGGTGGAGCTGACCATTTACAGTATCATTGCAGGGAAAGAGTGGCCCAGGAATGAATTGCTTCCAGTGTGTGCGGTCTAATTAATACAAACAGTATCTTAAAGGAAAGTCCTAAAACAGATGGGAGTTCTGAGAAGGATTTTAAAATGAAATAGCATTTCCCAAGGCCACATCTGAGCCAATCTGATGTCCTTGCCGCTTCCCAAGTGCTGCCTCACACCCTGAGAGCTGCGGGCACAGCGTGTGTAAATGTCTGTGCTCTGAAGGTGTTGAGCCCAGGGAGCACTGTGAGCAGTTCAGTGCACACACAGGAAAGAGATTTTGTGCTTGGGCATTTGGAGAGCAGAAACAAAGTCTAGGATTTGAACCCCTGCTAAATCCTCATGTGGAAAGGGCTAAGGCTTAAGTCTGTAGAAACAGCACAGATACACCGATGGTTAAAAAGGGCCATATATAGATTGACAGTAAGGACCCGAATGGAGCACAAAATAAAAAGTTAATGAAAACTTTGTGCTTGTTATTTAGCCAGAGTAATTCTTCTGAACACTACTAGGGAAGCGTGAGCTTCACTGTTTTAATTTCTGCATGGATGTGTGTGTGTGTGTGTGTGTGTGTGTGTGTCGGGGCCAACGTGTTTTGCTTTCTGGTTTGTGGTTCTCCAGCCTTACAGATAGCACCACTGGAGGCTGTTACCCTGCGTTTGTGTGCGTGTGTGTGGCAAATAGCCAAAGGAACACTCATACGGAGAATGTGATGTGTTTTCCTTGGTAGGTTTTGCCTTTGGTGTTCAGCAGCTTCATCCAGCTCTCATACAGAGGCCTTTTGGGTAAGTCTGTTCAATGGGACTTCAAACAGGGGAGGAGAAATCTTTAAAAAAAAAAAAAAAAAACAAAAAAAAACCGGAAAGCAAAAGTATGATCCTTGAAGGCCTCTGGCAGTAGCATCCTTATAAACACAGCAGCAGTACTGCAGTTTGCAGACTTACAAACGTGTGCCTGTAACTGTGCTCTCCTTGTCGGTAACGTTCTGAATGCTGTAGCCGAGTCAAGTTGTGTGGGACGCGTCCCCTCCACCTAAGCAGCCTGGTCCCGTATGACCCTATGATAAAACAAGGAGGTATGACTTTATGCAAGATTGCTGTGCCCCGTTTCTCTTTTTTCAGCTTGACTCAATGTTATTTATCTCTTTCTAATCTGACAGGGATCGTTTACAGTTAAGATAACTGATCAGAAGGATATGATGATAAGAGGTGGAATAGTTCTGTTTGGAATTAAACTCTGTAACCAGTAGACTCAAACACAAACAAGCTAAAATGGTGATTAACGATGCATGTATGTTTTTTTCATATAGTCAATAGACCTCCGTGTGCTTTTTTTCATTTATTTATTACGGTAATGAAGTGGTGTTGATAGCTAAACTGTGTGCTTTTATTTACTTGAAAGAGCTGTAGTGAAAGTGTTTTTTTTTTCTGGGGGGGGGGGTCTTTTTAATTTTGTTTTTGTTGTTGAGGAGTGACTTTGCCATGGGGAGCAAAGGGCCTTTTTTTGTTTCCTTGCTTTCAAGCTGTAGCTTGTGACTTTTTTAACCTTATTTTGTAGTGAGTGCTAAATGGTGTGACTTCTTGGTTTTTTTAAGTGAATCAACATATTGCTTGCATGTTCGTAATTTTGGGGGGGTTTGTTCTCGGGAGGGGTGTGGAGCTCCTTATTAACAATGTGCGTCCTGTTGGGCTTTCTAATTGGAGATTTTTTCCTTCGGTCTGACTTTAATACATAGCACATTTCTCCTTTACTTGAGTATACTGTTCCTAAGTATTTCTAACTCTTGCTTCCTATAGGCATTTAATTAGGAGGTGAGGTCTGCTTGAAAATTCCAATACGGCGTCACTTCACTAATGCACATTGGCTGAGAAACTCATTGCAAAATAATGCATTTGGCTAATTAATGAAAAAGCTAACAATCAAGTAGGGAAAACGTGTCACAACTGTATTTTCCTCCTTTGACTAGAGTAGCTTCAGTGTAGTGTACCCAGCTGCTACTAAGCAGGAATAGCTTCTCAATAGGTTGCTTCATCAAACCTGTAGGTAACTGTAGGAAAAAAAGTTTTCCTTTATGTGCTTTTAGAGGAGAACGTTTGCCCTCCTGAGACACCTGGGGAGGTTGTGGAAAACTTTCTGTCTTTTTTTCTTCTTCCTCTGCTGTACTTTGTTTGACTTCTTTGAAGTGTGAGGAGACGGCAGTGTGTGCGCAGTGCTCAGTGTGTGACGCCAGCACCGAGGAGGGCAGGAGGTGGAGTGCATGGTCTGCAGAGCTGTTACAGCCCTGCTGCAAAGAGGAACCAGTGAACTGCCCAGGGACCAGCCGTGGAGAGAGTATTTGCTGAGCATAACAGAAAAGGAGAACCTGTGCAATCTGTTGCTTAAAGCACTGTGCAAGTGGAGGGCTCCTTCTTGCTTTCCGTACCCCGAGCCAACAATAGATCATTTAAATCTTGCTTAGGTCAGGGGAATTCTTCCAGCAGGCTGAATAAGGTTTTATTTCTAATGCAAAGTATATAAATCTGAGGAGAGGAATGTTGGTACCAGGGTCATGTATATATCAAATTAGTCACTTTTTAATCCTTGCTTTTTGCCTTTCTTTTGCTATGTACAGACAAAAGAGATTACTAAACCTGCTTCCCCCTGGAAATTTCCAATGGCCTGTGTATTTTCTAAGGGATGTAGTTCAGATTAGGAAGGACAGCGTTCATTAGGACAAATGAAAACCTTCATTCTCTATATTCCTTGACAATTCTGCTGGGCTGTCTCAGTGCTTGAATCTACATTTATTAAGAGCTCACTCTCAGATGATGCTGCATGGATTGCACTGAAATATTTGCACACCTTAAAACCTCTCATCCTCCCATGCAGTTGCATTTAAAAAAAAAAAAAAAACATTTTACTAATATGCTTTATATGGATCGTAGTAATGATTCATTACCAACCCTCTGCTAACCCTTACATAGAGGCTGTAAAAATTTTATTTCGTTTTGCTTTTTCCCTATCAATCAGAATGCAGATTAGTAAGGTGCTGCCATACTCCAGTATGGTCAACAGTATTTTGTCATGACTGCCCACCTAACAAGCAAGAAACTGAAGATAACTGGAGTATGTCAAATTACTTTACTGAAAAGATGCAGAAATACAGTATTCCAAATTAAATACAACTTTTATTGCAGTGGAGGGAACTAGCAACTAGCTTAGCTTCAATGCATGAAGGAAGCTGTTTGGTCACAGGACTGGTTATCTACGGCTCTGTTTTCAGGATTGCTTATTGAAATACTACCCCTGAATTCAATAGGAATTTAAGGAGAGGGAAAAACAACTTTGTCTCCTAAAGCAGGTTTTCTCATTTTGCTTACATAATTTTTATTTTAATATTATGGATGAAAAATATAGGGTTACGCAGAGGGACTGGTGTAGGATATGACTTGTTCTGTCAGAGTTTGTCCCTTTATTTTTTTCTAGAACTTGTAGTGTCTCAATCAAAATGAGGACATTCCTATTCCCACTCTTTTTAGTAAGACCAGAGTTAAATCTCAAGTTGATAAGGCTGCTATCAAGTAGTCAGCTGATACTGCCTGCTTGTTACTGTCTCCTCTAGTTCTGTCTGTAGCCAGGCAATTCTGCCTTCCTTAAGAGAGATGCAGAAGCCCTCTTTTAGTTTGTGATCGGGAGACCTGTGTGTATCAGACTACTGCTAACCAGGATCTAGGGAGTGAAGCCAGAACGGTCAGAAGTGAACCCACAGAGTGCTAAATGTCCTCTTGCTGTTATCAGACACAAATTCAAAAGGGAGCACCTTAAGGGGATGCCTTGATGCTTCTGTGACCTATTTTTATTATCAGGAAAGCTGTTCATTGACTAAATTCTACTCGGTAGTTATGCTCACCAAACCTTACCACGGTCTGAAGCAAAACATGTCAGTCAAAGTTAAATAACCACCTTCTCAATGGTGTAGCGTTGAGATTTCAATTATGTGTTACTAAGGCTGAATTTCTGCATGACACAGCTCTCTGCATTAGTCTAAACTGTCCTTTCCTTTAAAACAATTAGCTGTCGCCTTATTATTGCTTATGGGATTATTTTAGGAGGCCTTAGTTAAAAACACATCTTCTGTTATAACAACAGGGGAAGTCGTAAGGCACACGGCAGGCGTGGATGTCATTTCATTTTGAATATCCCAAAGCTATAGTTGCTGCTAAAGTTAAATGTGGCTTTCCTTTTCCTTTAGTGCAAGAGCTTAAAACAACAAATACATGTTCCAAAATAAAAACTACTGTCAGGAAAGAAAGCTCAAACCATGTGCAATTCCCACACTCTTACTTTCAAGAACAAAGCAGCAGCTTTTATTTAAAATTATTGACACTAAGGATATCCAGCACTATTAGGCACTGCTTTTTCAACTTTTGACCTGGCAGAGCACTAAAAGCAGTTGGGTTCTGAATGGCCAGGCTCTGCACGTGCTGGCCTCTGCAGTAGGTAGAAATTTACTTTGGCCATATAAAGCCTTTTCACTCGACTCAAAACAGTTGTAGCATGACAGATGATCAAAAATAGCCCCAGTGCAGCTTACGCTGTCAATCACCATGTGTGAAATGGCACGGTGGTGAGGAGCCTGCCCGGGGTTTATGTTTGTTGTAGGGTAAGATGTGGCAAACGGGTAATGTTTCATAACTTCACCACCTGTTAGTTTCTTGGCTTAATGAAACAAGTCATAAGAGTTTAAGTGGGAGCACATGTATCTTTCTGTCTTGTTCAAGGATCCGATCGAGTGTCCTAAAGTCCTAAGAAAATTCTAGTAACATCAGTTGCAGACAACACGAGCACTTAGATAAGCCTTCTTGCTGTACCATTTCTGTTAGAATGATTCTATTTCATAAATGCCATACGTAAAAATTCCTGTGATGTGATGCTGAATGGACTCTTACATGATGCAGAAGGGGCTCTCAGTGACTTTAAAGTCGTTTTTATTCCTCTTTACTTAATACTTAAAAAACATGATGTTATATTTATTGAGATTGTCCTTGGCTGGGGACCAATACGAAATGCATGTTCTTGCTCATCCATCTTGTATGGGGAGCTCAGGTAATGATGTGTATTTAAATGCACAGAGCCAGCATAAATATGCTTCAAATGCAGTTCTGGCTAATCACATCATAAATTAGGTGAGTTTTAAAAACCCAATTTATTGTTTTATCTTACGTTTTCTTTCCTTTCCCAGCCCTATTTGTCATTCTCTTTTTTTTTTTTTTCTCATTTCTCCCTTCACACATTAGGAAGTGAATTCCATTGACACGTTGGGTTTTCATGATTGTGGTGTTCCTATTCACGCCACTGAGCTCTTCTTTTTCCTAAAAAAGAAAACCAGGCTGTTCCAAAGTCTGGTTTTCATGTATTTTATACTATTTCTTTGCTCTGAATCTAGGTGCCATTGCCCCTTCTGATTGAAATGCTTCCTTGTTGACCATTTAGGTAAATCTTGATGTCATTTTAAAAATTAAAAAACCAGAAAAGCTTTCCATTAGAACTTGCAATTGGAGGACACAGTGCACTACTGCAGGTTGCATCTGTGCTACAGTGCACTAAAAGAGTTGTCTGTAAAGGTAAATTTCATTATTAAATAGCAGTAAATTTGCACAAGCAGTTTTACATGAGTTTATAAAGACTCACTTTCTGGAAATGAGTTTGGAATGTGAAGGACTTCTCAGTGAAAATCCAGATGCGAGACAGAGCTATGGATTTTAAATGACAATCATATCAGATGCATCATTTTGAAAAACTGTATTATGTGATCAAACACAACTTTGAGGTGAATTTGTGTGTACAGTTCTCTTGTGGAGAAGATGGGAAAGTGTGTGTACTGATTTGTTCAGAATGGTAATTGCTTAAGCCATACATTTGTTTGGTTTCTTTTGTTTGATTGGTTGGTTGTTTTTTTTTGTTGTTGTTGTTGTTTTTTTTGCTTTTGTTAAGCACCAGATTTATTTAGACTTAATCCTATTCCCACCTTCCAAAAAACTCTATGCTGTATGTCTTGCATAGAAATAAACAAGCTGGCACAAAACAGGACAGCAGTGGCCTGATAATCAAACAGGTTTGACCCTTGTGTCCTTATGAACTTTTTAAAAGTGTGATGCACATGTACTTAGGAGTCACTGTTATGGATTTTAATAGCATCTATGTAGCTTCCCTCAATGGCCTCTTGTGACGGAGTGAGCTGCACTATAGTTCGTTTGGAAAGTGTGATTCTTGCTGTGTTTACCACACTTGTGAACTTTATTTAAACTCTTTTGTCGCCTGTGTTGTTGGTTTTTTTTGTTTTTATTTTCTTATTTTTAATAAGGGTGACTGAGGTTGCAGAGAAATTAATGTGTGCTGAGTCTGCATAGCAACTTAAGTAGGGTTGCCACAATACACCTTTCTTTCCTGCTCCCCCCAGAACACTTTATGTAAAATCAGAGTTAAGCTGTTTTGTTGCCTTATTGGCTATTGTCAAACAGTGAGGCTGTCAAACCGCTGTGTTACTAATAATAACAGTACTCACAGGAAATAATTTCACTAAGAGACAAGTAGTTCGGCGAGAAGCAGGATCACCAAAACCACTTGAGGTGTTTTGAAAAACAAATGCTGAAATCAAGCCTACTCCTTCAGAGTTGCCTTAAACTGACATCAGTAACCCTGGGCTTCTAAAGGGTTTGATAACATCCCACGTAACATCCTCAAGCAACCTTAAACGCTCCTGTTTAACTCGGCTATAAGGCTGTGCTTTAGAGCAACGCACGTTTTCAGGCCAACAAACTGATAACCGGTCTGTTCCACCTAGTTATTGTGGCAACCCTATGCACATAACAACAACTAAATTGAGTTTGTCTGACTTCGGAGTACGGATACGACGCTTAGGCGCTAACTCGCCTACCACCTCTGACTCCCTCTCCCATCTTTCAACAGGATCCCAGCTCACTATGTCTATCCACAGGCTTTTGTGCAGCCCGGAGTGGTAATTCCCCACGTTCAACCCGCAGCAGCCGCTGCTTCCACTACGCCCTACATCGATTACACCGGAGCTGCCTACGCCCAGTACTCGGCGGCGGCGGCCGCCTATGAGCAATACCCGTACGCCGCCTCTCCGGCCGCCGCTGCCGGCTACGTGGCGGCGGGGGGCTACGGCTACGCGGTGCAGCAGCCCATCACCGCAGCGGCACCGGGGACGGCGGCTGCGGCGGCTGCGGCTTTTGGCCAGTACCAACCCCAACAGCTGCAGACAGATCGTATGCAATAGCAGACGGACTCCCGAGGGAAGCTCGTTCTTTCTCTTCCTCTTTTTGGCCTTCCAGTATAAGTAGTTAATCAGAGACGATTGATGTTAACTAAGGAGCTTTAAGGAAAGCGACGCTATTGCGAGACTAAAGAGTTTTTATTCCACTGTCTTCATACAGTATGCATCCAAATCTTGTTGTTAGAGGGGAGGGGTAGTGCGGCATGGCTAGTTTCGAGTATCGATCCAGAAGAAAATGGGGAAAATATACTGTACTGTCATGAAAGAGTGGCAGGAGTAGCAATGGGACTTTGTATTTTAAAAGAAACAAGAACCAAAAAAGCAAAGGTGTATTTTTACAGTATCAGGGAAGCAAAACTGCCTTTTATAAGTGAGAAAGTGGTATTCAACAAGTTCGAACCAGGGGAAAAAACTGAGTCAGCAATATGTAACCTTTATCCATTTAAGAGGAAAAAGCACTGATTGTCCTTTGTAGCTTTCAGAAGCTGTCTTCGTGAGATAGCATCTTCCCACCGTTTCACTAACGGGCATCGAACAACCCAAGGAAGATGGCCTGCTAGTAAGATGGCGGACAGGCACCAAAGTTATTTTCTTATCTGTCCTCTGGATGAGTGGAACTATGGAGCAAGTGATGTGGAAGTAAGGGGTGCAACAGCTGTAGAGACAATCAATAACACAGACAGTTCTGGACAGAACACATCACTCATGCTCATGTGATGAGCTTGTCACATCCTAATCCCTCGCCCCATCCTGTTTCACTTTTGGGAAACTTTAACTGCTGGTGTCAGCTATTCTGATTCTAAAATAGGATCAGCCCTTTACTACAACAGCCTTCTCTTTCTATTTATTGCATCTATTCGTAACTTGTGAATAAAGGCAGGAAGAAGCTTAATGAATTAAAACTTTTAAGAACTGTGTTAAGGGAATTTTCTTTTCTGAAACCATTTGTACGATTTTAATATCTATTTCAGGACTATATTTAAAATATTTATTAGTGAACGTACATTACACAAGGCAACTTTTGTTACCAAGACTGCAGTTCTTCAAGGGTTAATGGTATGTGATTTATACTGTGCCTTAATTGTTATGCTATTTAAAAAGAAATATTTATTTTGAAAGTTTTACTATGCTGTGCTCTAAAGAAAGCAACTTTAGATGTGACACTGTAAAATTATGTATTCATCTCATGGCATAAATTATTTAGTAGACTTAGATGTAGCATATTAAATATTAACCTAATTAACTAAGGATGTTGACTTGGATTTATTTAAATTCAGTATGTGCACTGTATGAGGGTACTCTTAAATTAACACTTTTTTTTAGGTTTTTACATTAAATATTGCTAGTTCATTCTTTTTCCCTCTAATAGTTCTTCATGTAGACCTCTCAAGTACATTAGTGCAGTTTTCTCACTCATCTGTATGTAGACTGACTATTTTTCCCTTTGCTAGGAAATGCTGCTTTACATTGTCCTGTGAAACTACAATACTTGCAATTTTTATTCTTGACCGAAATGGAATTTAATATTTTACACTGTATTGGATTTTTTTATACTTGAACAATTTCATACAAGGGAAGACAGGATAGCATTTTTATGGACTTTTATCCAATGTCACTGGATTTATTTTAAGTATTCTGAGTACTAGCCAGTGTTACAATGTAGACATGACTCTTCTGTGCATATTATTTATTCAGTATGTATATTGCTTTACAACATTTCAGATCTTTTAATCAATTCACTCATATTAAAAACAATAAAAAATGTTGTTGCATATTGTCTCTTGATATCTTTGCTCAAACTGTCTTAGATGTTGTCTAGCTAAAATTTGGGGGCCAACCTTTTATGTAATTTTCTTGGTCTGTGAGCTGAACAGTGCAGTGCCTTCAAGTGTATAAACTGTAAACTGTATTAAATAGAGGAAACTCTACAGAGAAAATGGAGAAGATTCATCTTAAAGGTTATCGTAAAATAACTGTGAGTGGAAGGGACTCTGGGAGTTCATCAGATCCCAGACCAGGTTGCTTATGTCTTTGTACAGTTCTGTCTTAAAATCCTCCATTCAGAGACTGCAAAACCCCACTACGTGAACCATTTCGTTGCCTAACTGTCCACATAGTATTTTTTTTTTTTTTTTTCCTTTATCTAGCCCAAGCCTCCCTGATTATTTATGACCTTCATCTCTCATTCTTTGGCAGAGAGCCCAACCCTATCTTCTCAGTAACCTCCACTTAGCAACTGGAAAGTTGCCGTTCTCTTCTGTGGGCTGGACAAACCCCATCGCCTGAGCCTCTGCTCTTAAATTTCATGCTTCAACCCCCAGCCATCTTTCTGATCTTCCAATGGATTCATTAGGGTTTATCAAAAGCTTTCATATGCTGGGGAAGTCTAGATTGGACTCACTCTGCCAGATGTGATCTAATGAGCACTGAATGAAAGGGAATTACCAATTCCCTTCATCTGCCACCTGTGCTGCTGTTCATATGGTCTAATGCACTTTCACTGCTGCCAGGGTTTGCCACTAACTCACAGTCAGCCCGACACAAGGCCTTGCATGCCCTTTCCAGCAGAGACAAGCCAGCCATGCCTTATAAGCCTGTGCAGGGTCCTAGTCCATCTGAGGTGCAGGATGCTATATTAGTCCACACTGAATTTCAATGGGGCTCCTGTTGGCCCTATCCTCTAGCAGACATGAATCTGTCTGAATGGCAGGCCTGATCTCAAGCACATCAACTGCACTGTCCTGTTAGTATCATCAGTGATAGCCTGAAAGTACTGCATCCTGCCTCTGCGTCTAAGTAATTGACAAAGACATCAGACAGGACAATCCCTGTGGAATTCGATTTGTAACCAACTTTCAAGCACAGTATGAGCCCTTCTGGACATCAATCTGGTTAGGATTTTGCCCATCCAGACTGAAACATCTGAAATTGGATACAAGGATTCTGTGTGAGACTGCACAAAAAGCCTTGCTAACTCAAGGTAGACCTCTGCTTTCCCCTCATCCACAATGAAGTCATTTAATCATAGGAGGTAATCAGTTTGGTCCGGCACAATTTACCCTTGTAAATCCATGCTGACTCTTCCCAATTACTACCTTCTTCTTCATGTGCCAATAAATTACTTCTAATATTGCCTGCACTGTGACTGCCACAGAAACTGACTGTCCTGCGGTTCTCTGGATTCTCCTTGCCCCACTAAAGATGGGTGCACTACCTGCCTTTCTTCAGTAATGCAGATCCTGATCTCTGTACCGTTCCAAAGATAGTGAGCAGCCTCACAATGGCAACATCCAGCTCTCCCATTACCCATAGCTGCAATTCATCTGGGAAGTGGCAGGAGTCATATAATGGAATCATAAAATCATGATGCAAGAGACCTTAAAGACCACCCATTTCCAACCCCCCCTGCCAGAGGCAGCATTGTCACCAACTAGATCAGGCTGCCCGGGGTCTCATCCAACCTAGCCTTGAATGCTTCTGGGGATGGGGCATCCACAGATTCACTGGGTAACCACTCCCATGCCACACCATCCTTTTGAACAGAGAATTTCCTTCCAATATATCATCAAAATCTCCACTCTTTTAGTTTAAAACCATTTCCCTTGTTCTATTACTATTGCAATGCATAAAAAGTTGGTCTGTCTCCTATTTTTAAGCTCTCTTCAAGTACTGGAAGGCTGCGGTGAGGTGACCTCTGAGCCTTCTCTTCTCCAGATTGAACAATCCCAGCTCCCTCAGCCTGTCTCTGTAGGAGAGATGCTCCTTTGATCATCTTTGTGGCCCTTTTCTGGACCTGCTTCAACAGCTACACATATTTCTTGTGCTGGGGGCCCCCAGTACTCCAGACCTCACAAGGGCAGAGTAGAGGACGACAATCACCTCCAGCCCAGGATACAATTGGCTTTTCAGGCTACAGGCATACATTGTTGGCTCACACGAAGATTTTCATCCAACAGCACCCTTCAGTTCTTCTCTGTAGGGGTGCACTCAGTGAGTTCTCCTAGACAGTACACATAACTGGGATTGCTGCAACCCAAATGCAACACCTTGTACTTGGTCTGGTTGAACCTCATTAGACTCTTTTGGGCTCACTTTTCAAGCACGTCCAGGTTCCTTTGGATGGCATTCCTTCCTTCCACTTTATCAACTGCACCACTCAGCTTGGTGTGTGTCATCAGGAAACTTGCTGAGAGTACACTTAAACCCCCTACCCACCTCA